AAAACACTACCGTTTCCCCGATGATCAGATAAAAAGCAGCGATGAGCGCACAGGAGCGTAGGAGGGTCTTCGTCCTCTCAGCTGATTGGCGCATTAGGGGCACATGGGTGTGCATGTTAGGGGAGCGTGGGCGTGCATACATGTTAGAGGGTACATATATGTGTTAGGGGCGCACACGCATGTGTGTTAAGGGTGCTAGCACATGCACCTTAGGGGCGCACATGCATGCTAGGGGGCATGCACATGCGTGTTAGGGGCGCACATGCATGCTAGGGGGCACCCACGTGTGTTGGGGCAGGCACACAGCATGCTAGGAGTGCGTAGGCATATATGTTAAAGGCACACACGCATGCATGTTAGCATGTGTATGCGTGCGTGTTAGGGGCACACGTGCATGTGTGTTGGGGTGCATATGCATGCTTGTTAGGGATGTGTGTAAGCCTGTTAGAGGGGCGCACGCGCATGCGTGTTAGGGGCGCATCCATCCATCTACTCATCCACTACGTAGCTGCGTAATCCTGGGAGTTGAAGCCCACAAGTCCAAACTTGGCCCTGCCTGGCCTACCCCGTCGGAGAGATTTTCAGCAGGGAGTCCCCACGGTGGCTGGCTGGGGAATTCTGGGGGTTGAAGTCCACCCATCCTTAAAAATGGCCGAAGGTGAACAACGCTTTCCTAGAGGTACCTCAAATTTGAGGGAGAGGTGGGGGGAGGAAATCACCTCCAAACCATTGGGGAGGGGGAGGAATCTCCTTAAAAAAGGTTCTCATTTATGAAAGCAACAGTTAATTAACTCTGCCCACAGGGAAGCAGCCGGCTCAGCTCCCCGTGAATTGAGGTTTTAATCAAACGTCTCTTCGGAGCTCAGGCCTCTCTGGCTACGGGGCTCATTTGTCTCCTTCAGGTGTAACCTCCCGGGGAAAAGAGACTCCGGAGGCTTCAAACAGAGCCCAGAGGTTGAGGAGGCATTTAATTCGGACAGGGATGCATCCCAGGGACCCATCAAACTTTTCTTGCTCCGACAAAGGCCAGGTAGTTTTGTGGTTCCTGGTTTTCTCTTTTGGTGGCTGAGAAAGGGCAGGGGGGGAATTCTGCCTCTGGTTTCATAGGACTTTTGCAAAGGGGAACACTACACCCTGTTCAGGACAAAAGGGAGGTGAGGGAGGGAGGGAGGGAGGGGTGAGAGGGAGGGAGGGAAAGAGGAAGGAAGGAATAGAGGGGAGAGAAGGAGGGAGGGAAAAGAGGAAGGGAGGAGAGAGGAAAAGAGGAAGGAAAGGAGAGAGAGAGAGGAAGGGAGAGAAGAACGAAGGAAGGGAGAGAGGGAAAGAGGAAAGAAGGAAGGAGGGAGGAATGGAGGGGAGAGAGGGAGGAAGGGGAAGGGGAAGAGGAGAGAGGGAAGGAGGGAAAGAGGAAGGAAGGGGAGAGAGGGAGGGAGGGAAGAAAAGAGGAAGTGAGGAAGGAAGGAGGTAAAGAGGAAGGAAAGAAGGGAGGGAGAGAGGGAGGGAGGAGATAAAGGAAGGAGGTAAAGAGGAAGGAAAGGAGAGAGGGAGG